GGTGCCCCTGGTCTGCTGGAGACGGTCTCCAGCAGACCAGGGGCACCGGAGCAGCTTACGAACGGGGCTTTCTCGCCCCGACTTCCGGGGCGAGAAAGCTCCGTTGGTAAGTGCGGATCCGACATAAGTCGGATCCGCGTAAGTCGGGGACTGCCTGTACCTTAGGACCAATGCCAGTCCTCAGCCTCCAGTTGGGCTAGCAGGCACCCTTCTCTGAAGAGGGGCAGGAAGGGATGTCCATGTGTTATCTCCCCCCCACTCCCAGCGCAAACACGCCAGCCTGTGTGCCTCCCACCCCACGTGTCCCCCAAGCCCACCTGCCAGTCCCAGAGGATTTAAACAACTATATGTTTAAACAGTTAACTGGCCTGCCTTACTGCTGGGGCAGACCTCCACCCGTGGTATGGCAGGGCCCGCCCGCCCGGGGGGGGCCCCTCACTGCCTCTCCGCTCAATAGGCTCAACTGGGCTGCTCTAGCTGGGCTGTGTGCTGGTTAACCTGTTAGTCCAGTAAGCATGCCCATAAGGGAACCGCCCCAACCGTCTTTTGAACAGGAAGGTGTCATGCTCCTCCCCCGTCATGGCAGAAGCAGTGCTATGCAGCAGCTTGCTCCACGCTGCCACCATGTTCCAGTCCACGCTGGGGCTGGGGCACTCTGCTTCCCGATGCCATGGTGAAGCGGAGCAACTGGATTGGCCTAGGAGACGGTGGCAGAGCAGAGGTTGCTGCAATGCTCCGCTTCCCTGCGGTTGTAGTGAGTACAAGGGGACCCAACCACTGCTGCTGCCCCACACCAGGCACCCCGGTAATCTGAGGCTGTGTCTCTCGGGGGAGGAAGCTTGGAGAGAGGGGTGTGATGAGGGAGAGCGGAAAGCAGGGGTTGGACTTGGGAGAAGGGTATGGACACCACCCTCTGGGGCACAGGCGCTCAAGTGCCAGCAGCTGAATGCGAACTGGATTGTGGAACTGCAGATAGCCCGAGGCCATGAGTGTGAGACCCCTGATTTAGAGTAGTTCAGACTGTGCTTGGTTCTGTACAAACACAGAGCATAAAGATGGCCCTTATTTTGCTTGGGGCCACTAGGTGCCACCAGACACAAATGAGACAGAAAATTATTACTATTACTATAATTGAGCAGATAACATCTTGGAATATTTTCATTGCTGATCGAGATTTTGCTGATGTTAGAAAAAGCCTTTGCGAATACCAACTTGTTGGTACAAGCAAAAGTTGAAGTGCAAACAGCATTCAAAAAGGCATTATATAAAGATTACAGATGAAGCTATGAACTTCTCAGCAACTACTTCCGGTCACCTGGGAACTCGTAGTAGCTGAAGGAAACAAAGGTAATAAGAGAAGAATTTAGGAATTACTTTAAAATTGCATAAGCGTTGAGGAGTCCTGTGGCACCTTATAGACTAACCGAAGTGTTGGAGCATAAGCGTTCGTGGGCAAAGACTCACTTGCCCACGAAAGCTTATGCTCCAACACTTCAGTTAGTCTATAAGGTGCCACAGGACTCCTAGATGCTTTTGCAGATTCAGACTAACACGGCTACCCCTCTGATACTTTAAAATTGCATGGAGACCAATTTGAAGAACACAGATCTCTTGTAATACACAGCTTTCATGTAGTAATTTGTGCCAGTTGTCTGTTGAGGCCTACCTGTCAATAAAGAAAACATAACGAGCTTGTGCAGCACATTTAGTGCTAGGAAAAATATTTCTGACACAGGAAGGAGAGACCTTTATGAGCTATAATGGGAGTGAGCTCAACAATGGGGCAGTAAAAGGTAGCAATAAAATAGAATCTAGCGTTTGTCACTGTCAGACTATGGGCTGAAAAAGGCTATGTAATATTAATAATTTAGAATAAGTAAATAAAAGGCATAAGAGTCAATTTAGGCTTGTTCATTCTGTTACTGCGACAAAATGGGAATCTTCTGAAATATTTTTATGAATGATATACATGGCAGTCGCCTATATGAGTATGTTACCCCATAGGTGCAGAGCAGGAGAAATGAGGTGTTGAGTCACCTAACTCTCTGAGGCAGTGTGAATGGGTCACTGAAGGACTGGCTGATATCGACCCATATCAGTGGAGGATCCAGAAAGACTATGGGAATCGCAACTGAACAGTAACACTAATCCACAGGAACACCACATGAAACTCCAGCAAGTTGAATATGCAAACTCAGCGGGAAGAAGACAACAGACCAAGAAATGACAGGATGCTAGGATACAAGCTGCTTCATGGAGAGAAAGTGAAAAGAGATTCCATAGCTGCTTTCCTGGCTAATCGTACTGGCCAAGCCTGTGCAAACTAACTTAAGACTTTCCAATGCTGTGTTACAGCTGACTAATAAACCCTACTCTGTCTGGAAAAGGCTGCTTGGTGTCACTGCAAATACTTGCTGAAATGTATTGGTTCTGGAAGACAGGAAATGCTGGAAAAGGCTGCTTGGTGTCACTGCAAATACTTGCTGAAGTATATTGGTTCTGGAAGACAGGAAATATCACTTATGAGGAGTATCCAAGTTGGATTCACTGGGCAGAGCTCACAGAGTGAAACAGGTTTGCTGGAGCCTGGATGCTCAGTTTTGGAAGCACTGAAGCCATGTGGCCACCCTTAAAGAAGAGTGAACACTGAGCCCCCTTAGGAATGTGGCACACTGACAAGATTCCTGCCAGCAAAGGTGTGATATGCATGTGTATAGGAGGGATGGAGTCATATCCCACCCCCCAGATTTCTGCCATCCTGCTTAGTCACAGGGGGTGGCTGGGCCCCCTCCCTGCCTGGCAGCTGCTTGAAGAGCCAGTTGGCATAGCCCTGTGGGGAGAGGAAGGAGCAACAGCTAGGAGCTGCAGGAAGGGGCATTACTTTCCAGGAAGGGAGGCTGAGGATAAGTGGGGTCTTGTCTGGTGGGGTTGCCCAAACCTCTAGTGTGCCCCGTCTTCCACAATCAGCAAGTACAGGTCATCTCTGCCTGCAAGGGATCATTTAAAACCTGGGCATAGCACAGAGCCTATGAATCGGTATGAGTTACACGATCTATGTTAACATCTTGGTGACTTACACAAGCATTATGTTTTGTATACAGATATTGGTAGCATACTTACTGCCAAATTTGCTATAACCTCATGCTAAACTCAAAAATTTTTCCTCTGTGTTTGTGGCTACATCCGCACTATAGCACTTTGGCCAGCATTGTCCTCTAGTGCAGAGGCAGCCTATAATGACAGAAGATTTTCTGTTGGTACAGGAACACCTCCTCCCTGAATGACAATAGCTATATCAACAGCAGTTATATCAACTCTTCTCTCAATATAGCTGCACTGGTGGGGGGGAAAGGGAAGATTTGTCAGCTTAGCTATGCTAGTTAGGAATGTGGTTTTTCTACTCCCTTGAGCAATGTAACTATGCTGCTACAACACTTTGAGGTGTGAAGCAAATTTCTGAGATAGTTAGGAATGTGGTTTTTCTACTCCCTTGAGCAATGTAGCTATGCTGCTACAACACTGAGGTGTGAAGCAAATTTCTGAGAGCTGCACCCGATCAATTCCAGCAAACCTTCTAGGAATCAATGGCCAGAACCCCACAGATTTGAGGGAAGGAACAAATCTGGAAAATCGGAAGGAACAAAATGGGGAATACATGACACCCTGCCAGCTCTTTAACACAGTAACCAGCATTTCTGAAAGTGCTACAGCTCAAAAAACCTGGCTGATGGCAGGCATTAAGGCCTTCCAGAATAACATGCCACATCTCATCTCTGCTCATTCTCCCAAGCGTTTAACATGTTGACATCCTGACTGACTTCTTTCCCAGAAAGTGAAACAGCAGAGAAAATAACAATGTGCACAAATAGTGTGTGTGCATGAGGAATGTGAAAGTGTAGTTACATATATGCTCCCGGTAGCCATGTAACTGAGTGTGCATGAGGAATGTGAAAGTGTAGTTACATATATGCTCCTGGTAGGCATGGAGCTGATTTAAAAGAGGCTGTATCAGAGGAAGCAATAGAGAGAAGAGGGGAGAGGAGAGGAGAGGGCAGATGGGAACTAGTACTCATGGAGCCAGATTAAAAGCTGGCTTCTTGCATGCACTGGCTCCTGGGAAGCTGCCTGCCTCTGCCTGTAACTGTGTAACTGCTGATTTTTTCAGCAGTTACACGGGAACTTAATTAAATGCATTTCAACATCCCTAGTGTTTGTGAGAGAATGAGAGAAACAGAACCCTGGGTGTTTGGGAACAGAGACTGAGGAATCCTGGTTATGTAAGGAGGGAAAATGGAGCTATACAGAGCTTCTAGAATAGGAGAAAAAGGATAATAAGAGTGCACTTAAAATTCCCGCCATATGGCGGAGGGGGGAAATGGGATATGCAGGAGGGGTGAAAGTAATGGGGGGCATACAGAAATCCTGATGAAGGGGAGGTCAGGAAATGCTTCAGAATGGGTGGAGGAGATAATGAGGGATATGGAGAAAATGGGGCCACACAGTGCCATGGAAGGAAATGGAAACAAAGGTGCACAGGTATGGGGAGGAGGGTGAGAGAGGGAGGAATGAGGAGCACACAGAAACCTTTTGCCAGTATAGCTTATTCTGTTCTGGGAACCTCAAAGGTGCACAGGTATGGGGAGGAGGGCGAGAGAGGGAGGAATGAGGAACCCGTATAAACACAAGCAAAAGTGCTTGTGTGTGTTGTAGCAGTTGTGTCTCCACTAGGAAGGTTTGCCAGTGTAGGTATACCAGCAAACTTGCCTAAAGCATAGTGCTATATGAGGTCAGATTTTTTCCCCACATAGATCAAAAAACACTTCAGAAAGATAGAAAGACATTTTTATCCTTCCTTACTGAGGTAGAAACTTAGGCAAAAGGAAAGTAACCAACTTGCCCAAAGCCATAGTGACAGCATGTTACTTCCAGGATATAAAGAGAAAAGAAGGAGGGACCCAAGACTCCACACCTAATACTCACTGAGCATGAAAGTCTACCACCACCGGCTTCTGGCTGTTCATAACTCTGTCCTGGAAGTCAGCCCCATCCTGGATGTTAAATGTGACCCTGCAGACAGGTGTAGTAGAAAACGTTCTAAGGGAAGCAGGCATAGTGACCTGGGTAAGAGGGACAAGTGATCTAGGGTAGCATGGTGCTCCTGACACCCTGGAAAGGATCAACACAGGCGGCACAGAGAGCTTTTGGAGGGTGACGGATAGAACTTTCCTCAGCATGAGCCTCTGAGCCATCTGTATAATGAAAGGAAAAAAGGCATTTTGGATCAACCATGCCATGGAGAAAAGGAGAGCAGAGAAGGTGCATTTCCGGGCATTATGCTTCTCAACAACTCTCCAGCCCCAGAATGCTGCTGCTGCTACTTTCCTCCTGCTTCCTACAGTGAAGCCAATGCCCCTCTTTCTGCCATGCCAGCCCTGCCCATGCTCCTTCCCCGTACCCTGCCACCGCATCTCTGCCATGCTAGCCCCTCAGTGCCCCTCCCTCTCACCCCACTGTGCCCCCCATTCCATGCCAGCCCCATTCCCAGTGACGTTATGCCCCTTGCTAGGCCAGCCTAACCCACAGTACTCCAAGCCCTCACCGGTGCCCCGGGCTGCGCTGGCACAATGCTAACCCGCCCCTCTCGCACTGCTGCCTGGCCCGGCTGCGCTGTGGTCCCTTGTGCCCTGAGCGCCCCGCGCCACTGCAGCGCCCCGCCCACTTCCCGGGCCCTGGCCCGCACGCGCACCCCGCACGCTGGGTCCCGGCAGCGCACTCCTCAGATGCCCCACGACTCACCTTCCCGGCGGCGGAAGTGACGCAACGGCTGCCGGAAGCGGATTGGCTGTGGCGAGGGAGGAGGCGCGCCAGGAGTCCTGCGCCCCGGGTTGGCCGAGGGAAGCCGCTCTCTCAGCGCCGCGCGCTCATCGGCCCCTGAACAGCGACTTCCGGCTCGCTGTTGTCTAATCCTAGGAGCTCATTGGCTGGCGACACTATCCGCGAGTAACTAGCTCTTGGTTGGTTGCAAACAGGGGAGGGCTCCTGGGTGCTGATTGGCTGCGGAGAAGGGCTGTTCAATAGCCCGGCTGTCGTCATCCACCAGCAGCAGAGCACCCTCCCCCCACGTGAGCCGGGGCTGCGGATTGGCTCCGCTGTGCTCACCCGCTGCAGGGTCGGGACTGGGCCAGAGCCAGCTGCTTGTGCCCCTGCCCTGCTCACCAGGCGCATCCCGGGCCTGGTGAGGGCTTGGCCCCGTGACACCTTGCTTGGGACACCAGATAGCAAGTGTCAAAAATAAGGATGGGACGGGAAGTAACACAAATACCTGCTACGTAAAGCAAAACCCCACCTAACAGCACCGTGATTCCCTATACAATCAGTACAGCTGGTGTCCCCCGACCAAAGGGTTAAAAAACCAAGCGTGGAAGCAGTGCAAACATTTTTGTAACTGGACTGGAAGAATAGCCATATAAAATACGTACAACCAATTACAACAGGCAGTAATTCACGTCAGAGAAATGGCATCAGTATTAAAATGAAATTATGCTCTGAAAAGTCATTACAAAAATGGCACCATGGTAGTTTGCAAATATTGCTCCTGTGTGACATCCAGATGCAACCTCTCTACTTTATGAACAGAGCGATTTTCCTAACTACCATCCCTGCTTGGGATCCCAGAGGGACAATGGGAGAAATTAAGTTGGAATTTGTGTTGTTTATTGATTCTGGCTCATATCTAATCTTGCTCATTCTCTCAGCTGCTGGCTCTACATGCAGAAATAAACAGTAACACTTTCAGATGCAGGTGTTTCTGATTCTGACACATAACAGGGACCAAACTAGTAAAGAAAGTGCCATTCTTAGTCTCTTTTCAGAACAGAACTGCATTCTTAGGCAACTCACATATTAGGAATTGACAGCCTTAGGATTTTGTGTGGGACACTACAGTGAAAGAGAAGAGGATGCTCTGACCGTGTGTGCACAGATAGATGCGTGTGTACACATGTCGAGTGGATCTGCTCTTGGTTTTAGTGTCTCCCCGACAACAAAACTGAACCTTTAGGTCAGACAGGTCTGTCAGTGTTCAGTGGACTTCCTAATTCCATTCTCTTTGGACAGACCACATGTAAGAATCCCATGGTGAGTTGTGGGGGCTGCTTGGTGAATATAGACTTTTCAATGGCCTCTTTCTGGGCCAGATTCACAGCTGGTGTAAATGGATGTAACTGCATTAAAGAGAGTGGAGCAATACCAATTTACAACAGGTGAAAGGCCAACCCTATTTCTCCCAATCAACTTGATAGTAGCTACTAAGTGGATCTTTTGATAGCAGCAACATTTTCATCCAGTCTATGTCTACACTGCAGGCTTTTTGCGCAAGAATAGCTGTTCTTGTGCAAAAATTTGCCAGCTGTCTACACTGCATGTGCGTTCTTGCACAAGTGAATCTACAGTATAGCATCAGGAAACAGGGCTTCTTGCATGAGATCTCTGATGCTCCCTATCAGGAAGAGGCCAGTGTAGACAGGAAGCCAAGAGTTTTTGTGCAAGAAAGCCCTATGGCTAAAATGGCCATCAGAGCTTTCTTGCGCAAGAGAGCATCCACACTGCCATGGACGCTCTTGCTCAAAAGCACATCTCTTGCACAAAAGCACATGGCAGTGTGGATGCGCTCTTGCGCAAGAACTTTTGCACAAGTACTCTTCCGCAAAACAGTTCTTGCGCAAGAAGCCTGAAGTGTAGACGTGGCTCCAGTGCTTCCAGTTAAAAGTGATACCTTTCAGTCCCTCGCTTATCTCAACTGCTCCCCAAACTCCAGCAGCAAAAAGCTATGGGAACTGGGTCTTTATAGAAAGACCAAGAAAGTTTAAGAGGTCCCTGGGAAATACTTAGGAAACAGCTGATGGGAAGGAATTAATAAGGTCCACCTTTTTTCCTCCATTCATCTTAGCAGGAAGCACAAATGCAAGATGTTCTTATGGATATAGGGAGAGTGGGAAGCTGATTCCAGTCTGCCCCTCCTCTACTTCACAGAAATCATGGGGATGCAGGCAGAATCAGCTCAAACTCCTACCATTTTGCCCTGCTTAGTGGTTTCCAGGAAGTGACAGAGGTCTGTCTCCATTTGATTGATATGCACAATTTACCATGCAACATTTGAAAGCTATAAATAGGAACATCTGGGAAGAAAACTAGAATACACATTTTAACTAGAGCGAAAAATACTAGGGCTACATCTACATTGGCAAGATTTTGCACAAATACTCTTTAACACAGGAGTTTTTGTGTTAGAGTATTTGCACAAGAGAGCATCTACACTGGCATGTGCCTTTGCGCAAGAGATGTGCTTTTGCACAAGAGCATCCGTGCCAGTGTAGACGCTCTCTTGCGCAAGAAAGCTCTGATGGCCATTTTAACCATTGGGCTTTCTTGCGCAAGAAATTCATGTTGCCTGTCTACACTGGCCTCTTGCGCAAGAACAGTTGCACAAGAAAGCTTATTCCTGAGCGGGAGCATCATCGGTCTTGTGCAAGAAGCACTGATTTCACACAGAGTGTTCTTGCGCAAGAACTCCCTGCCAGTGTAGACAGGCAGCAAGTTTTTGCACAAAAGCAAATGCTTTTGCGTAAAATCATGCCAATGTAGACACAGCCTAGAAGATTTTTGGAAGGACATAGCAAAATATCTCTCCTATTTGCACTAAAAAAAATACAAGGACTATCTATTCTAAATAGGAGCAGCAGGCATGGAATACCAACTCCACCAATTAAAGTAACAGAAAGGATAGCAGGGCCAATCTAGTGACAGCTCACATTGGGCCTAAGCTTCCCAGGTTAGCTGCTCATCATTAGAGAGAGTGGGGTGGCTTTTGGGACCTCTGTCAGGCAGTGACATCATATTGCCCTACACTAAAACTAAATATATTGGCATGCACCTAGCTGTCTCCACCAAAGTGCAGGAAAAATGTTGCTTCTGAAGGTACCGCTTCTGTATTCATTAAACATACAAATCTTCAAGTATACACAAGAATGTGCTGGACCCAGCATCGAATGAAGAGGTTCCAACTGGTCCTCAAAATGTGACTGTCACATCAAAAGCATCTGTGCATCTCTTCTCTCTTTCTCTTCATACACCTGTGATTCCCAGTTGCTTCCCCAGACATTGGTTCATAAGATAAACGCAACACTATCTTCAGCCATTGTGAAATGTTCAGCTAAAAGGAGAAGCCTCAATGAATCCCAGCTTCTCATTTATCCTCTAGAGCACAATGGTCCCATAAGAACAGCCACACTGGGTCAGTGTGAGGAAGTGAAGAGAGGAGAGCTTGTCAGTACAGGAGTTAAACAAAGCCTTTTGGCCCAGCTAGCTCTGCCCCGCTTCACCTGTAGCCAATGCCAGGCCTGGAGGGAGTATAAAAGGAAGGACCATGGCTCAGTTAGGGGCTGACCAGTGAGGATACAGGAGCTGGTTCTGCTGTGTGCAGGACCTCCCAGGTGGAGCCTGTCTACTTGGCCAGCCCTCAGGGCATGTAAGCCTCCAATCTCACCCCTCAAAGGAAAGGGGGAGAACCTATGAGGAACCCCCACAGAGGAGGAAAAAATTTGGACTCTTAGGCTGTGTCTACATTGGCTAAATTTAGCGTAAAAGCGGCTGCTTTTGCACAAAATCTTGCTGCCTGTCTACACTGGCCGTGAGTATTTGTGCAACACTGACATTCTACTGTATGAAATCAGTGCTTCTTGCACAAATATTCTGATGCTCCTGCTCAGGGGTAAGTGTTCTTGCGCAAGAGGCCAGTGTAGACAGGCAACACCAATTTCTTGCGCAAGAAAGCCCTATGGTTAAAATGGCCATCGGAGCTTTTGTGCGCAAGAGAGCGGCTACTGGCACGGATGCTTTTGCGCAAAAGCAAATCTTTTGGGCAAAGGCACATGCCAGTATAGACGCTCCCTTACTCAAATACTCTAAACGCAAAAACTCTTGCGTTTAGAGTATTTGCGCTAAATCTTGTCAGTCTAGATGTAGCCTTTGGACCATGCCTCGAACTTAAGAACTATACTCAGGTAATAGGCCGGAGTTCCTATGCCTGGGTCACCAGCGGTAGGGGGTTGTACCCAGTCAGCTAATTCTGGGACCTAACCACTAAGCCACCCTGCTGCTCAAGGGACCTGGCCACACTCAGACTAAAGGTCCATCTAGCTCAGTATCACGTCTCCTGATAGTGGCCAGTGCCAGGTGCTCCACAGAGAATGAACAGAACATGTCATCAAGTGAGCCATTCCCTGTCATTCATTTCCAGCTTCTGGCAAACAGAGGCTGGGGACACAATTCCAACCCATTCTCGCTAATAGCTGTTGTTGGATCCATCCTCTGTGAGCTTATCTAGCAGGTTTTTTTTTTTAACCCTTTTATAGTCTTGGCCTTCACAGCATCAGTCACAACAGATCTGAGCAGGTCTTTGGTAGGGATGTAAGTGACTAGTTGAGTAGTAAACTACCCAAAAAGCCCACGTTTATCAGATAGTCAAGTCGACTACTCTCATTCCCCCCTTGCCTTGCTGCCTCTGTATCAGAGGCATCAAGGGAGGTGGAAAACAGGAGCCAGTGCTGGGGGGGAAACCAGCTTAAAAGTGGTTCCCCCTAGCACCATCTACGTGTTGCTGCCTGCCCCCCACTGCTGCCTCTAGGCAGTGGCACTGAGGGTGGGGAGGGGAAGAGGAGAGGGGAGAACAGGGGAGGCTGCTACGAAGCAGCCTATGCCCGTGGTGGGCTCGCAGCGGGCCCAGGAGGGGAGCTGAGACCCTCCACATGGAGAGGAGCTGCTGCCAGAGCAGTTCCCCCTAGCACCATCTACGTGTTGCTGCCTGCCCCCCACTGCTGCCTCTAGGCAGTGGCACTGAGGGTGGGGAGGGGAAGAGGAGAGGGGAGAACAGGGGAGGCTGCTACGAAGCAGCCTATGCCC